ATAACAATGTCAAAATTGCCTAAATTCAATTTGCCTAAATGCCTAAATGTCTAAATTATTTCGACTAACAACACTAACTAAAGATCAACCGAAAGGGTGCTGATATTGTTAACTTAAATTATCATAAATTTTCTTATGTTAGGCAACGAAAGATGTGAACGAAGGACTAGTTGGAGCTAACTTAATTCCCGAAGAAACAGCCGAGTAAGAAAATAATTTTAATTATTTATAAAGCATTTCAGTTCTATAAAGAATTAATATCACCATTTCTTTTGCTAGCAACGTAGATGAAGTAAAAAAGGCCATAATTCAAAACGTTAAATGGCAAATGTCATTCGATAGAAAAATTAGAGCCCTTAAATCGTTTCAAGGGTACATTTGGAAATCAGGATTCAATTCCGGTGAATTGGAGACAGAGTATGTTTTATTATAGGTCAAATCTATCAATGCCAGACACGAACCAAAATGAAAATGATTAAGAAAAAGGCGGTCAAATGTTTTCATCACGTGAAAAATTTTAAATTCATCTTTTTAACGGTGAGTTTATTTTAAAATTATATATAATTTATCTAAATCAATGGAGATTAATACGATCTAATTAAAATCTAATAGTGAATTAAATTCCGAGTAAAGATACATTGATGAAGACTATAAAACTCTAAGGACATCTAACTATTCTACGAGCTTTTATCTTTAAAAATGTCCTTAATTATTAATAAATTGGCCAGATCTTCATAGACATAATTTAATAAATTATTTTAAATAAACGTATCTCTGTGAGAATCGGCCATTATTAATGACTAAGGACAATTTTGAATCATAAAATGTAGAATAAAGTAGGAAAATGACCTTTGGGAACTATGTAGATTTCACGAATAAAATTTAAATTGTCAGCCATCCCATAATCCAATTTAAATAAATTTTTTTTATTCGAATAGGATTATTGGATTGTAACAAATTTAAATTTTATTAATAAAATCTACATAGTCTAAAGAGGTATTTTCTTATTAAGACCCAAGTTCTTGCTGAATCTAGTAGGACGATAATTTTTAGTATTAATTATTAGATATAGCGATATAACATTTTTCATGGGATGCGAACATTTGACCGCCACAGTACAGTATGTTGGCTATACCGAACCACAAATAATAAAATTTGATATATCGGGATCACAACATAATTTTATATACTGGATGTTTCCAAGGGGTCCGTATTATTTCACCGACAATCACTTCATAGACACTACATTTCACTGATAATTATTCACCGACAAATTCATTTCACCGACAGTCTATTTCACTGAAGCTCATTTTACCAACATGTTTTTTTATAAATTACACTAACTTTAACTCTAATTCTAACCTTACCTTAATGACATTGACCAGAATTACTTTGTCTGTAAAATGAGCTTCGGTAAAATAAACTGTCGGTGAAATGAACTTGCCGGTAAGTAATTGTCATGAAATGGGGTGTCTACGAAGTAATTGTCGGTGTGTTGATCGGATCCCGTTTCCAAGATATAACGACAGCACCCTTTAATTATGATGATCTCGTGTGCTACATACATAGCTCTTGCTGAACAAAATTTGCTGGAACAGATGGTTCGGTGTAGAGAGTTGACAGTATTTTAATTTTGGTTTATTTTGTCAAAAAACTGGTTATAAAATTTTAAAAAATTCTTATTTACACAGAGTATATGATGACGCAGTTGAAGCAATGAATAAATGGAAAGATCTCGGAATAAAAATGTTTATTTATTCTTCAGGAAGTGTTTCTGCCCAAAAATTATTATTTGGTCATTCGGATAAAGGAGATTTGTTAAATGTAGTGTTTTTAATTATCAAGTATTAATGGTTTATTTCATGCAATCCAAAAACCTCTAATGTTCGAATATTTATTAGTATTTTTCAGGTTATTTTGACACAACAATTGGTTCTAAACTTGAAAAAGATAGTTATCTGAATATTGCTAAACACATTGGAGTGGAACCGAAGGATATTTTATTTTTGAGCGATAATGTGAAAGGTAAATTTCATTACCGTAGTGCACTGACAGACTCGGGATATTATTCTACAATGGGTTTTGCTATATATTCCACATTGTAATGAGCAGCCTAATTAATAGAAATCCGTGATTTGCATCAGGGTATTATTTCACACGGAAATATTAAAAGGGTATTAACTCACTCGAAAAATTTTTAGTTAGTCGACAATTAAATAAACTGACCAATTTGATCAATTTATTCAATTGCCGATTAATTAAAAATTTTACCTCTGATCCATCGAGTGAGGTGCTTGAGAACCCTTTATTCAGTGCACTACGTATTAAGTTTTTAATTATTTAGTTTTCTCATACTTAAAAGTCTTTTTTGTTGATAATTAATATAGAGATAAGTGCTGCAAAAAATGCAGGATTTCAAACGGCAATTGTTGAACGTCCAAATAATGCACCTTTATCTGATGATGATCGAAAAGATAATATTGTTTTAACTAACTTTCTTCAAATATTCTCGCATCATTCATACATTGAACCTCTTGGTTGAGAACCAAAAGTTGTTGTTTTGAAAATGTTTTGAAAATAATTACTAAATTATGTATATTACACTGAAACTCTATATCCTATTAATAATTGTCACGGATGATCGTGAATATTTAATATACGATTTTTAAAATTTTTTAGGTTACATTTTTTTAGGCTTTTTTTTTTAGATTTGGACTAGGATTTAGGGTTAAGGTTTATAATAAAAGAGGTAGGGTTTATATTTTTAAATTAAGCCCCTCAGATTTCACGATCATCCAATTTTATTCTCGAGAATAATTATATTATTATATAAATAAATAAAAATGGTTAAGCAAAGCAAAGAACATATTTTACGGCAGTTGCCTTCTATTCACTTCCGTAATCCTAGATTGTTGAATACGTAATGATTGATCAGCCACATAAGTTCCAATCACTTATGCTGCGCATTATCTAGTATCAGACTATCAGAATACTTATCAAATTTTTGTATATGAAAAAGTTATTTGAATTTAGATGTTTAAACTGTTCGAATCACTGTTGAACCACTGTTGAACCTGATCAAGTCAAAAAATAAAAAATTAATTTACCGCTATATAAATCTAAATTTTTATAATTTTTTCAAATTTGATAACCTCTCAATACTGATACAAAATCTGTCCACCATTTTGAGAGTATTATCAATAATACAAATGCAAATTCTATTCATTAATTAAAAGCCCCTTTATAAGCTATCTGTAGCGGATCGATTTTTTTACCTAACAATGAATGGAGATGAAGTGGGAGAATATAATACTATATACAGAAACGTGCAGTACACTCCGTATCGCAAAAAAATAAAAAATAGAGAACAAAAAGAAAAAGTGGTGAATATTTTAATCGAAGTAAGTTATACTATTTATTGTATTGGTAATGTTTAATTCTTTTAGCTAAACATAGATAGTGTTTGAGGAATGCCGGCCGGAAGAGCAATATAGTTAACTCTTTCTTCATAATATCGAAAGTTTCTGATTCCCCTTGACTGTGCATGGTTATTTTAGCTAAAAGAATAAATATGTTTAAGGCATACCTAGTTATATATTTTCCATATCTGAATGAGATATGGATAATAAAATGAACTCATATAAAGAAACGATTTTAATTATAATAATGACTCTAATACAGATAATTAAAAATATTATTTACAAACTTAGAAGAGAAATATGGTGTAATCCTGTATTCAGTATAAGTACGACTCGCAGTATGCAAAGTGAAGGGACATATATTACAGAAGTAATTTATGCCATTACTTCGAGCGACTTTGAAAGACTTACAAATGGATTTATCTGTTAAGCGGTGTCTTTTCTGTTATACTGATCTAGCAAAAGTGCTCTGTGATTGTGATACAACTCGAAAACCCTCTCGTTCTGAAAATGAACATGTATATGGTCGAGTTTTTGACCCCAAAAAAACACATTCAAATCAAAAATTACATCTTAAGCAATGCGACCGTCTCTATGCTTATTGTAGCGATAGTATGGAGAAACGATAAAACAAGAGAAAATAGGCAACATTACGGCCTTAGAAAGATGCAACAAGAAATTGTTTAAATTGATTTATCACCAAATTTACAACAAAAAAATTATTTTCGTCTTAAACAACAAGAACATCGACAACAGTTAACAACAGAACAACAAGGGCTGCTTTACACGCTTGAGCTTTCCGATATTGATAATTTCTGGGTACAGAAATTTTTAAAAAATGCAATTAGCATTACTTGAACCACCTCCACCAGCTTTATTACATTTATTAACTGGATCTGATATTAATACATCAAATGTTCTTTATTGAGCATATTTTTACGAACTGGAGACTGAAAATAAATGGGTTCGTTCATAACAATATCATGACAACCCTTGTTAATAACAAAACATTAAAACATTAGGACTTTATGATAATAAGGCTGAGATTAGACTATTGATATATTCAAAATATAAGGTCTTATAATTTTGCATTTGCTTTTACATCTTTAGGTATAACCGTAAATACAAGTATTTTAGCAATAGATAAACCTTATACATTTAAAGTTGATATATATGTTGTAGGTGGATTCGGGATTCGGAATTTGTGGATTCTGAATCCACTTTAATAGATATAGAATTTTAAAATTTGTAAGCAATCTAAATTTCAATAATAAAGAATACATGTAATTTTATAGTCATTATATTATTTATTTTTTCTATAACATGTTCTCTATTTTTGCATTTAATACTACGAAATGACATTGCTTCCACATATCAAATTATAATGTCTATATTCGTAAGATTTTTTTTTTTTTTTGCATTTTCATTTCAACGATACTGATAATTTGGATTCGTTTCAATCCCAACTTCTATAGCTGAAAGGAATTTTAATCGATCTTTTGAAGTACCAAATTTGTATAATTATAAAATTTTGATTGTGAAATAAAGGCTTTACGACATCTTGCAAGTGATTTTTTTTTTAAAAACTTGTCTTAAAATAAAGTACTATTCTTAAAAACTTTCGCGAAATACAGTACAATTATTTTAAATACATAATTTATGATTATTAATATTCGATTATTTAATTAATATTTTTAAGATCTCTGAATTCGAAACCCATTTGAGTGGATTCTGAATCCACAAATTCCGAATCCACCTACAGCATAGGGATGAGGGTGTTATGGCGAATTAGGTATTGCGGCGAATCGTGATATCTTGTAATCTCGTGATCAGAATCAAATAAAATTTAGACCATTCGATTCTCTCATCGAGAGGAATCGAATATATAAATTTCACTCGATTTACACCGCTACTTCATGAGATATTTAGGTTAATGCATTTTTGTATATTTATTATTTATTAATATATAACCACTTTTGTGACTCAGTGATCAAAAATTGATTGATTCTTATATCAATCGATTCTTCTCATAGAGAGGAATCGATTGGTATAAATATCGCCCAATTCGGACCACTGAACCATGAGATATTTCTGTATTTCTGTTTAAGCTATTTAAATATATAGTACTATAATATTGTGACGAACGTTGATATCTTGTGACCTGGGATCAGAATCCAACGATTTTATACCCTTCATTGAGAGGAATCGAATGGTTAAAAGTCGTTGGATTCTGATCTCGGGATCACGAGATAGCAATGATTCGCCACAATACCTTCCAATGCAAAAATCACGTTATTGTTAATAGAATTTTAAACTCAAGACCTAGTGATCAGGATCGAGTGTTTTGGATTCAGCTCAAATGAGACGAAATGATATTCGATTTCAATTAACATATCACGTGACATGGTCGAAAATTGTTAACTTCTCCATAATACCCTACTTCTCTTATATGAAGGAATCTAAATATAATTTTAATATATAGAATCATTTTATAGTTTAGGTTGATATTAACTGGGGTCAACTATATTGTAATTCATCTGCATCAGAAGTGATGTATTCATAAGATTGTTGGTTAATATGATTAATGAATTTACTAGTATATCTTTTAAAGCCATTATTTTCAATCTCCACTTCATCAGATTTTTTTCCAATTTAAAATAATTTTATGAATTTTCTATAGCTGACGGTCGTTTTTCTGGATCATCTTTATCTATCACAACACTTCTTTAAAAGATTTATACATAGCAAGATTCTGTGCCTTTAATAATAAACCCTCATAAAATTCTATTGCCAACTTTAAATTTTAGTCAGAAAATATGAAATTTCCTGATGAAATCTCCCACATAAACATTCCGAAAGAATGAACATCCGATGCTTTTGTAAATGGGTTTGATTGGACGATGGACGCCCAATATTCAATGATTTTGATCAAACATTAGAATCCAATTGATTAGTCTTAATGTTAAGTTACATATAAATCATTGGTATCACAATTAAACCTACGATTATTTAGGATTAGAATAGGGACCAAAATCTAGTTTCCAAGAATCACGACTGGACTTTGGATTGGAGTCCAATCCAAACGTGTCCCAATATCCAGTTTGTCCATGTACATGATTAATGTCTGAAGCACCATTTAGATACAATCATATTAATTGATTGACCTGCGCGTTATTTCGAGCACGCACATATGCGTTATTTCGATTGAATTCGCACCCCTGATTATAATAGTGTTATTTATAATAAGAATTAAAAAGTGCTCCGGAACTGGGTATGTTATTAAGTAATCCTATTTATTGGCTTTAACAAAAGTAGTTCTTCAGATTAAGAAGATTCTATCGGTAGTAAACTCATCAAAAACAGTCCAGTAGTTCATTCGCAATGGCACTTCAAAGGTTCGCAACGTTTGTTTACCTTAGTTTACATCATGTAGAAAAACCATTGCGGGCGAACTACTGGACCGTATTTAATGATTTTACTACTGTTAGAATTTTCTCGATCTGAAGAACAACTTTTGAAATAGGTATACTTAATAACAAATCCAGTTTGGTGCACTTTTTATTTATCTATTCATTTATAGGGATGCGCGTTGACTCGGGACGCCTATGGGCGCTGCATATGCTATTTTAGGTATCTAATTTTCAAATTAACGCCCCTGAGCGTTATTTCGTACGGTATGCAATAGTGTGCCATATTAGTGCTACAAATCGAAAATCGCAACTAATCGAAAAGTTGACAACTAATCGATTGAAAAATTTTTGGCAACTTATATTAAAATCGAATAAAAATCGAATAATCGAAAAGTTGACAACT